TCCTTAATACCTCCACTTCCTTCAAGCACAAATGAAAGAAAACATGGTTCAAAATTCCTAAAGGGACAAAATTTCTAAGTGGCTCTCTAACATATCTTGGAACTTCACTTTCTTTGCTAACAGATAACAGACCGGCTGGCACAACTACTTCCCTACCTATAAAAACATCTAGTCTTCTATAATGACTGTGATAAACCCAAACTAGAAAAATAAGTTAAAATGACTAGATAGAATGGAGCGTGCAACACAGTCTTTTCTAGTGGCTAACCTGTGTATTTTTCTACACAGTGAATACTGAATATGCTGGCAAGGGTGGGCCTCTCTGCCCAAACACAGGCATGTGGTCATCACTACATAGCCTCCTACTACCAATGAAAAATATATATACATAATCAAAAAATAAATAATGACCTCACTCCCTTTTTTTTACATGATATGGATGGCATCAACAGAGTTCTAAGCCTAAAACTTCTTCTGTGAGACAAACCTGGCAAGAACAGAGCATCCTCGCTCTTCCTGAACATTCAAACAGAATAAAAGGGAGGACCACAAGCCAAAAAGAAAGAAAAAAAAGTACCTCAACTTGAAACTCAAGTGCTGTTGCTCCTTACAACCTTCCATTGCAATTTTCCTTTTTTCTTCAAGTTCTTGCGTCCTGAGTTATTAAGTTTGTGAACGCACATATAAACTGAGGCTTAAGACAGACACGTTACAGCAGATGCATGATATGGAGAAGCAGGCAAGATAATTATAAAGATTAAGATGATATTTGATAATGATGGTGATAATGAGAGTGATGAGACGGTGAACACTATAATGATCACAGGATATACTTGAACAAGGCAAAGACATCATAGGTAAAGAAACACAAAGAGAAAGAAAGAAACAGCAGGTATTTGCTACATGGGAACAATAACTAAAAAGAGAGTGTGGAGTCATATTACAAAAGGCAGCAAACCCTAGCTTCCCTCACTGGGCCCAGGTTGCCAAGAACATTATGCTGTAGCAATCAATAGTATACTCTTCTCTGTTCATACATACAAACAGGATGATTGTGTATGCTCTTTTCTGTTCATACACTGAAACAGGACAAGAATATCTGCAGGAAAATAAAAACTGCAGTTTATAATATAAACGTTATACAGAAATGATACAAGTGAACTTAATTTTCTTTCTTCATTACCACTTTTCATTATTTTCACTATTCTATCAATCAGATGTTGAGTATAATTATATCAATAATTTGTTTGAGCAGAATCTGATAAGTCCTATAACCTCACTTATTCTATGGTAAAAAAAAAAAAAAAAAAACAGCATAATAATCTACAAGAAATATTTGAGTTTAAAGTCAAATATATTTTTTCAATTCTTTTAATAGAAATCAAGATGGACATAAAAAAAAAAAAGGAAAAATACATGAATTGTGATATACGATAATAATAATAATAAAAAAAAAAACTAAACATAACTAAATGGTGATAATGGAAAAAAAATGTTAAGCACCATTAAGCTCTAAACATGTTTCAAACACGATATGAAAGTATACTGGAAAAATGGCATTCAAGCAGCACCTTAGTCAAAGTCTTCTCGGGGTGCTGTGTGTGTGAAATAACCCTAAAGCAGGTGTCACAACTGCAGTAAATGGTGAAGAAAAGTGTTCGCGTCATAACGCAAGCGTGTCGTTGCTTTTGTGCTTCGGTGTGACGGTGTCATAGAGTAGGGTGGCACGAGCTGCGGCACAAGATGGAACTCTAGAGGGATGACAACGTGTTTTCTTTGTACAGAGAGTGAAGATGAAAAAAAAGATGACGAGTTTCCGTACAACCATCATTAGCCAATATTTACACGGACAATTATATCTCTCTCTCTCCTGCCTTTCCATCACATGGGATGATTTACTTCTTTGTACAGCAGAGAGATTAAAAAATAATAATAATAATAAAAATAATAATG